CCCCTGCGGAGAGAGGTCAGGGCAGCCTCAGGGCCCAGGGGACCCCCAGGAAGCAAGGAAGAGCCCCGGCCACATGGGGGGCTGAGCCCGGCCGACAGCCCCGTCCCCCCAGGACTGCAGGGCTGAGCTCCTGCCTAAGGATAGAGTGATCGGTGACTTTCGTGGGGTGCAGAGCCAGGGCCAGAGGAGCCAGCCGGGGAGATGCCTGTGGGCAGTCAGGGAAGGGAGCAGCAGCTGGCCCCATGGCCGGCCCCTGCCAGGCCCGTGCGAGCATGCGGCCTGAGCTGCAAGTAGCCGCAGTGACCACCCAGAGACGGGTGGCTGGACCGGTCTTTGCCCAGCCCGGCCGCAGATGGCCCCTGCCTAGTCCAAGACCAGCTCAGATGGGGGGGCGGGGAGAGGAGGGGGCCCGAGGTGGAGGCCCAGGGATCCGGGACGTTGACTCTCTTCGTAGACAGCTCTGATCGGTGGCCACCTTCTCACCCACAGATGCACAGCCCCCATACAGAGAGGGGGCCCCAAGGCGGGTTCAGGGTTGTGCCTGCCAGGGAGGAGAGGGGGTGATGGGATCCACGGTGGGGTTGGGGTTCCGGGTCGGGTCAGCACCCCCTGCATCCCCCATCCATCCCTGGCTCCCTCCCAGGCCTCTCCCCAATGTGCGATTGCTCTGGGGGCCCCAGAGTCAGAAGGACCCTCTCTCCTCCCCCTCCCCCTGCCTTCCACCCCCTTCTCTCCCTCTCTCCTTGCACACTAATCCAGTGTTCTTTGCTGCCCCTTTTTCTGGGGCCCCGGGCTGAGGTTGCCAGAGAAAATACAGTAAATATGAGGCCAGTTAAATATGAGGTTGGGCTCAACAACTACTCATATTTTTCCCCTTTTTCTTTTTTAAAATAAGCTTTATGTATTAGAACAATTGTAGGCTGGCAGAACATTGCACAGAAAGAAGTTTCCATAGCCCACCTCCACTCCTACACCCTCTATGAACGTCTCCTCTCCAACATCACGGATGCCTTGTTACTATTAACCAATGAATCCTTATTATCTTTTTGTGTGCCGGTTCTGGGACTTGAACTCAGGGCCTGGGTACTGTCCCCAACCTTTATGTGCTCAAGGTTAGCATGCTGCCATTTGAGCCACAGCTCCGCTTGTGGCTTTTTGGGTGGTTCATTGATGATTCGGGTCTCATGGACTTTTCTGCCGGGGTTGATGTCCTCAGTGCTGACATCTGAGTAGCAGCTAGGGCGTTACTGTTCACCAATACATTCCTGGCTCCCGTGTCGTCCTGACCCATGGTTGACCATCACAGTGTCTGAAGGAATGGTTTTACCACCCCAACCCTGTCAACCCTCACTCTTTGTCCCTGCTGCCTCCCATCTTCTTCCTGTCGCACAGTTTCAGGCCTGTGATTGCTCAGGAGTCTCTGTCAGTCAGCAACATGCGTTTTGCCTTCTCTCTGTCTCCACACCTCCTACTGTGGAGGTGCCTCTGTTTGCCCATTTGCCCACTGTTGCTTCCAAGATTCAGCGTGTAGGGGTGGAAAGGTATGACCTTTGTCTTCCCATCAAGAGTCACAACCAGCCGAGTACCATGCACAGGTGGCTCATGCCTGCAATCCTAGCCACTTAGGAAACAGCGATCTGAGCATGGAGGTTTGAAGCCAGCAAAATCTAAGACTCTTATCTGCAATGAACCACCAGAAAAGCTGGAAGTAGAGCTGTGGCTCAAGTGGTAGAGCCTCGAGTGGAAAAGTGTCAGGGCTAGCGCCCAGGCCCTGAATTCAAGCCCCAGTACTGGTGCACACTAAATCAGTCAATAATGAATAAATAGCTCACACGAAAGAGAAAAGTGTTTCATTTAGTCAGAGTTTCACCTGGCCTAGAGCCTTCAGAGCTAAAGAGTTAAATTAAGCCCAGGGGGAGCAGTCTGTTTTTGTGCCCTAGCCAGACGGACTTACACCAACAAGTCCTGTGTGGACATGGCCTGGACAGAGGTTTGACTTCACGACAACAGGCTGGGAGACCGAGCAGGGCTTGCCTGCCTGGATTCTTTGTGGTCTCCATGTCCTTCCCTCCCTCCCTCCCTTCCTTCCTTCTTTCCTTCCTTCCCCCTCTTCCTGTGTAGGGCAAGACCTTTGCAAGAACTATTGTACCAGAACTGTGTCCCTGACAGCCAGGGCCCCCCCAGTGGCATTTGGGGTCCCCCCATGGAAGGAGTGGGGCTTACAGTGGTTTTTAGGGGGGAGTGTTCAGCGTTGGGGAGGGGCTCTAGCTTCCACCACCCACCTTGAGAAGGGCTTTGTGCTCTCCTGGCTGTCTGGGGAGGCCGGAAGAGGCCGGCCTGGCAGAGGCTGCAGGGAGGAGGCTGCTGCAGCCCCCAGGCTCTGCAGCACTGGGGTATTGGGGGTTGCTGGCACCGGCAGCGTGGTATGGAGCCCAGTTCTCTGCCCACACCTGCTGGTGGGAGCTCCCTGGGCTGCCCGAGAAGCTGACCAGTCTCTTGGTGGCTGCCTGCGTTGCACCCTTAATGCTCCCAGAGTTCCTGCTGCTCTGGGGCCTGGCAGATGGTGTGACCAGGGTTCTGGTCTGGGCGCTCTTACAGGCGTGCAAGGCAGTGGGGTCTGAATTCCCACTTGTCACAGAAACGTGGGAATGCGTGCCATTACCACTCAGCTCTGTGCGTTAGATGGCCCCTTGCTGGAGGCTGCTGGCTGGCATGAGGGGGAGGGGAGGGAGGCGTGGAGGGAAGGGTGGTGGACCGATCTGGGGTGCTTAGCAAAGGGGGCGTTCCGCCACCCTGCCCACCACCGTGCCTGTCCTGGTACAGGTTGGAAGGCACTGGACAAATGTCTGGTCACTCTGAGCTGGTAAGGGCTGCTGACTGGGGCCTCCTCTCTGCCCAGCATCTCCCTGGGTCCCTGCTGGCTCAGGGGCTTGGGGCACTGATCAAGCCACACACCGGAGCCTGTCCTTGTGATCTGAAGTGTCTCAACGGTTGA